ACTCACTAAATGGCTACAGAATCCTACTTCATGTTGTTACAGCATAGTTATTTCCATCACTAATGTTGAGTCAATGACTAATCGGCAAGATTAAGTTAGTTACTCAGTTAAAACTATTAACAAGTTATATATGGGTTCCTCTTATATCGCTTCCAGGAAAGAGAAGAATCACAACTGTTCCTAGCTATTCCATTTTCATCAAAGTGGCACGTTCATGTTAAATTGCTTGGCCTTGCTCCAAAATTAAATTAATCTGTGGTGTCCAAACCACATTTGAAGTGCCAAAGATAAACAATTTAAAAGTTGATGCCAATGTTAGGCTCAATACAGTATATGGCTGTTTTCTTAAAGAACTTTCTATTTATTCATGATGCTGTCTTTTGTAGGAGATAATGTTTCATTTTGCATTCCTAATAAATAGTAAAATGTATTTGARTTACCCTGCGCAGGGACCTAAACAGTCTTGCCAACAATGCAGACAACCTATGATATATTCTCTTTCCTTTCAATTGTCATTTGCTATTAGTGCACTCATTCTCCAGCTCCCCAAAGTACAAATATATGAAGGATAACTTAAGATGTTGACTAGCAATATGTATATCTGCTATGGTACATTGTTTTAGCGAACACGCAACAGCTAGGTTATTTTTGTGGGTATGTACATGTATCTCCCTTTTAGTTACAGCTTTTAGATTCTGTTGAACTCAGAGTTGTTTTACATTTCAGACTCTGACTGGTTAATTTTAGCCAGATATCAAACTGGCAGAAATCTGCATAACTGTTGTCTTAAAGATACAATATTGCTTAAATTCCAAGAATATTTACTCCTAGATGAACGACAAATAAAGAACATATATGGATGCGTATATGGATGCAGATACAGATTAAATAAGCACTTTTGAATTCACTGTGCCCATTTATTTTAGCAATAAATATGAATAAAATACAATTTTWTTTTTTAATTTTTAAGTTGCATTGTAGTATTGAAATTGTATATAAAATAACATAATGGTAAATAGCTCTGCCTACAACCAGGGTCTTGGATATGTTAATATGATCGTAGCTACTATATTGATAAAATTGATTGCATTTACTAATTGTAATATTGCACAAAGAAAATTATAGCAATTATTTTCTAAAAAAAAAAAAAAATAGAAACTACTATTTATGATTGGACCTGAAAGCATTGTACTTACCATTATGGTGTTCTGCATTTAAATAAAACTCAGAGCAAACTATCTGGATAGGAAGGACACAACAGTAGGATGCAGTGCCTAACAGTGAGATTAAATAGACTTATCAGTTACAATTTAAAATGTACTTTTAACTTTTGGGCTACCTGTGCTTTGACTTATGCAGAGCCTCTTAGTCTTGTCTCTGTCTAAAAGTTACTCTTTAAGTCTACAAGGCTAAAACAACCCAGAAGCTTYGTAGACAATAGGTGATACTCTTCTTTTCAACTGCCTTGTTATAATAATTTGCATTATAGCAAATTTAGATTAATGTGTTTCAGTGCTTTACAAATGTTTTCAATCTGTGCCCAGGATTTTCCATTTTTCTATTTCTTTGCATGATTCATGAAGCAGTAGAACACGCAGTGGCAGTATAGTTATATAGACATCTAAGATTATTCATAATAATATGAAGCGTCTCTTTAATAGATTAAGGACATACACACTTCAGCAGTATTATTCTTAACATTGTTGCTATGAGCCTATTCGGACAGCATGGATGTCATGCCATAGTCTACAATTTCAGCATTTGCACAAGCTCAAATAATTCCACTGAATTTTTGTACTAATGTTTTAACTAGTAGCATGTGTATAGAAATATATTTGTTTCCCAAGCAATCATGAGTACTTCGCAAATATACAATAGAGTTGTTGACRTTTGCAACTAGTAAATATAAACCATATATTGAATGCCATGTATTTACTTACAAATGGTTTTACTTTGAAATATATGTTCAATTTAAAAAATGTGAAGCATTTTCCATGTTAGACTGTCATAGCCCTTAACATTTCACAATTCAACTTCAAATTAAACTCCTCTGGAGATCAAGCTTATCAGTGCCATCATGCATGTAAATAATCCCCTTTTATATGCTTTCTGCTCAAATTTCTTCATTTGAGTGACATCTTTACACCATTACGTCRGTGTCAAAATTTCTGTTGACTTCAAGAAGGATCGGAGTCCACCTGTTTTGTGCAAGTTCCACCGTTCAGCCGAGTGTATTTAGTCAGAAGCATTTACAGTGTAATTCTTTCAGTGATGTGCAGTTACACTGAACAGCAAACTTGCAAAAGGCAGAAAGGATCATCTGACAAGAAACAAGGCCACATAAGGGCTCAAACTTCAGCGTTTACTTAAAGATTAGAAATATTAGGCTCTATTTTGAAATATTTCAAGAAGAAATAGTGTGGTAAGGGGAGCTTCAAATTCACACGGTTTTAGCAAGCTGTTTTTYGAAGTACTTTTTCTGCTACTTTGGAGGAGTTTTATCAGAACTTAATTTTCATTCCTGCGTATATGTTGTCGTAAGCAACACTGATGTTACAAATATGGGTGCAACAAGATGAAGACTAATCTGTCAATACCAAACAGACTAAAAACCAGTGGATTGTGCTGCTTGGCTTGTTTGGACATCTCATACTACCAAGAAAAAACAATCAGTGTTGCTTAGAGAAAAAAAAATCAGAAAAAAAAATAGCAAGGTTTTTTCTGCCTAAATTCTGTCTCTTTTTTCCACTATTTCTTGCCTGCAGCTGCAGTTGTACCAAGGGCTGCTTAGCAGAGCAGCTCCCCACGGGTGCAGGAGGCAGCACGTGCGTTCCACAGGTTTGTGCTAATGCGTGGTTTCAAACTTCCTCATTCCTCTCTCTTTTGCTTCTTGGCATATTTTCTCTGTCTCTTGCTTGGATCCAGATCTAGTCTGGTTTTCTATATGCGAGCAAGAGTTTTAGCTGAGCTGCGAGATAGCTGGAAAACTGTTCCTACAAAGGCAAGACCACCTCTTTGCTGCTGGTGTTTCAGCTCACGTCATCTCATCAGCTTTTCCTGAGCTCCTGAAGAAGGAGGAGGAGAAGAAGACTGAACRTAGACGATTAGTGATGTTAATAATTCCTCACAGGGAGACTCGAGTGCAGGAGATTTGAATTCTTAAGCTGTTCATGATGCAAAGAAGTTTTGCCAGCGTGACTTAGGTTTTCTTTATTTCCAGTGTTTCTGTCACTAGTTATTCAGGAGCATATTCACTAGTATGACCAGTATTAGTCCATGCAAGAACAGTCTCTATTGCCCAGGTCCTCAAGTGACATAAATCAGTGGAACTGCATTGATTTATGTGAACTGCCATAATCCCACTTAGTTGGAAATCTGGTTTAGCGTGTAGGAAGGCTATATATTCACTGGGGAACATTGTAGCAGCTTCTAATTTTTCTATTTATTGCTGTCATAATGAGGTGGAGAGCTGTGATATTGAGAAATATTCAGAATATGTGAAATAAATAATGCGAAACAGAAGGAATTTAAGAATTTACAGTTTGAAAGAGCAATGGGAAACTCCTTTTTTTTTTTTTTCCAAACAATAATGATAATGCCTTTCACTAGGAGCAGGGCTTTTACAAAGGGTCTTTCAACTGAGGATCTCAAAACTCTTTTTGAAACATTTGAAACAGGGCCCAACACAGAAGCCTTTATCAAATGAACGGTCTCAAGGCGAAGGAAGTGCCTGGGTGATTTGTCAGCTGTCGGATCGGGATCTCGAGCCTCAGCCCGTGAGGTAGGGAAGCTTTATTCTATATTTTACAGAATGGGAAAGCAAAACCTAAGAGAAGGGTGACTTGCCCAAAATGACACCGCAAGTCTGTGACAGAGCTGTGAATTAAACCAGCACCCTAGCAGACACATGCCGAGGCTGCAATTTTGTCTTTCTCTTGTGATTTTAAGTCAGGAAAAACAGCAATAACTGGGAAATTGAAAATCAAGAAAATCATCCTGACTGTTGCGTGYGATTTGTTGGTTATCCTGTTAACTTGCCTCGGCTAAAATGAGAAAACGCTGGTCAGAACCTGCTGGGGTCAAAGTGAAAAGGAAACCCTGTGGGTTTCCTGATCTTAAGATAGCAGTTGAGCTAAATTCATGTTAAGCTAGTAAATTTTCACATAAGCACTCAACGTGAGTCACTGAAACTTCTTTTTTATATGTTTTTTTTCCTTCCTGCCAGACTGATTCTTCTAGGGAAAAAAAAGAGAACGTGTCTTTGATACACACGTAAGTGATTTACACTTAATTAAAACTCTATTCTACCTCCAGTGTATATTTTTAGTCATTTTATTTTTCTCTGTCCCTCTCTCCTCTGGTTTACGTGGGTAAAATTCAACACAGAAAGCTGCTGCAAGCACGTGTAGAGAAACCTGCCAAAAGTGGCGTTTCACGTATCCACATGCGAGTTGGTGGCAGCGCTAAGTGTCAGCGTTTCAGCCCAGGCAGATGACACTGCAGTGCAAGAACGTTCTGGTTTGTAAATGATAGATTTTAAAAGGCATAATAAATGTCAATCATCTGCTGTGCTTCGCAGCGTGAGTGCCATAAATAGGTGCACTCTCTTGCTTCTTTGAGCGGCTGATTTTTCGAATTGCTGATAAAGTATCTAAAATTGATAGTGTGTGCTTACGCTTCGGGGTTAAAAGCGAGTTGCTGCTCGTGTGCTAGCGCCCATCGCCGCGTCCCCGCAGCCGGAGACCAGGCGCTCTTTCCTTCACGCGCGGGTACTGGGGCCGTTTTATTTGCGGAGCCGTTTCGGGCGGGGGTGGCGGCAAGAAGCATTTCGCACRTCGCGAGGGGTTGCAGCGGGGCTGCGCCCGCGCGGATCCGGCGCCGCGCTCGCCGCTCGCCCAGTGGGAGGGTCGCGCCGCGTGAGACTAATAAGGCCAGAGCTGCGGAGCCTCGCTCGGCGACTCGGCGGCGCTCGGGCGCGCCTGCTGAGCGCGGCGGGACCCGCGCGGGCCGGACCCCAGGTGAGCAGCAATTCGGGAGCGCGCGCCAGCGCTCCGGCGCTTCCTCCCCGCACTTGCCCGCTAAGCCTTTCCTCCCTGCGCTTGCCCACGAAATCGTTTCTCCCTGCACTTTCTCCTTGTGCTTCCCCCTAAGCCTTTCCTCCCTGTACTTTCTCCCTGCACTTCCCCACTAAGCCTTTCTCCCTGCACTTTCTCCCTGTACTTCCCCACTAAACCTTTTTTCCCTGCACTTTCTCCTCGCACTTGCCTACTAAACCTTTTCTGCCTGCACTTTCTCCCTGCACTTCYCCACTAAGCCTTTTCTCCCTGCACTTGTGCACTAAGTTTATTGCGGGTTTTGCCAGTGTTAACGGTATCCTGTGGGAATATAAGGTCCACGGTAACCTTTTAACGTACAGCTCTGAGTCCCTGCTAGCGGCGCGTGTGGCCCACTCTGGATGTGTGTCAGCACACGCGGCCGCGGCGTGTGTTTAGAAGCAGGGTTATGCACTCGGCGTGCGCACGTGTTCGCCCTTGATACCGTTTCTAGCGTTCTGYGTTTTCCCGTTTGGGAAGGGGCGAGAGCGCCGGGACGGGGTCGGGGCTGCGCGCAGGTGGCTGCGCTGCCGCCGCGCACCTGGCAGCGGCGCCGGCGCCAGGGGGCCCCCGCGCAAGGTGCGCGCCCTCCTCTTCCTCCCCTTCCTCCTCCTCGTCCTCCTCCTCCGCCYGGTCGTGCCCCAGCGCCGGGCGCGCGGCTGCGGGTTTGGGAAGCGGCGCCGGGAAGCTCCTGCCTCCAAGGTTGAAAATCTCCGGGGAAAATAAAAAGAATTTTCGTCTTTACTAGTGGAATGACAATTTCTTGGCGTTATTACTCATATTTTCTGAGTTAATGTTTCTGAAACTGTGGCTCATCACCTTAGCCCTAGGCTAAGGGAAGATACTTGTCATTCATTTCCAAGTTCACGGGAGCCTTTATTTTACAGCTCTTTAAAACAGATAAATGATATGTATCATAATGATTTGTATTATATAGACTAGTGATTTACTCCCTATTTACAGTTAAATTCTTTACTATGGATTTCTGGTGGGGTGAGGGAGAAGGGATGAGAAGATGTGTTCTCACAGTGAATATTCTCGGTTTCAGATTTGCGGCTGGCTGTTCACATGAGTCCAGAGGGAGATGAAGTACCTTGGATCCGGCGTAGTTGGGCTTTGTATGGCAGTCTTCCTCCTCCTCCCTGTTTCTGCTCCTGTGGCAGTCACTGACCACACAGGTACTTCCAGAGTTTTTGKTTTTGTCCATTGCAGGCCAAAGGCACAAACCTTGGTAATGAAGGAATTAAAAAAAGTATGCGGAAAATGAATAATAAAAGCAGGTGCAGCAGTTAGACCAGTGGTTTTATCTCTGCCTTTGAAGAAGTGCAAGTCTGAAGCAGTTTCAAAGTTTCAAGACAGTCTTTCTCTTTTCTATACTTGGAAGATGAACATTTGGAAGCAGTTGCCGCTTCTGGGAGCGTTATTTTTTCTTTCTAAAATTACCATTTAAAAAAAAAAAAAAAAAAAGAAAAAAAAAAAGAAAAAAGGAAGAAGATTCTCTATTGAGGCTTGGAAAATTTTTATGACTAAAATCTGGCTTAATCAGAGGAAATTACTGCTCACGGTGATGTAAATAACCTAATGAATAGGGTAACCTAAACTAAACCCACAAAGCAAGTCAGTCACTGATGTAGAGCAAGGCAGAACCTTTACCTAAGAAGGTGGTGGCTTAGTTCCCCACTTTCTGCAAATTTACCCTGATTTTGGTATTTTCTTCTTATTGTTAACTTGTGTTAACTCATTCGCTTGCTTCAAACAATGGTCTCTTTCCCTGGCTCCTGGTCTGTTACCCACTTGGTGGCCTTTACCATGACCATCCTGACTGCAGTAAATCGTCTGTTAAACACACAAGTTACATCCCTTTTCTTGAGGCCCTGGGTACATATCTCGGCTTTCTAGAACTTTAGCATTTTCCTACAATAACTAATAAAGTGRACTTTTATTTCCCCTTTATTTAAGTAGAAATAGAAAGTTTTTTTTTTTTTTAACCAAAAATTAGTAGTGCTGATTTTGGAGAAACTTGATGGCACATGATAGAAGGGATAGGTACACAATACCTTTAAACTCAGCAACACTTCTGAAACTCAAGCCCAAGAAATATTTAAGGTTAGTGACTGACATAACAATCTTTTTACTTTTTAACGCACTGTGAAGCATCTCAGTTTAAGTCAAAGACCTTTTTGCCTTTGCTCTTTGGGTAGCAAAGAGGAGTGCTCCAAACATGAATTATTCTTAACCCCTGGGAGAGAGGGAGCCTTTACATAACAGCTCTGCAGTTCTTCTCCTCGGCTGTCTGAGGGGCTGCGTTGTCTTATTTGTCCTTCCTCGCTGGAAGATTGCAAAAGGGAAGTTTTAAAGCCAGAAGAGCCTGATGGCACAAAGTTCCCTAATAAGACAAATCTATCATTTGAATAACCTTAAAACAAAATGCCAAGAAGTATTCTCCTCCTTTTGCTGTCTAATGAAAAGTTATCTTAGTAAAAGGTAAACCAGACATAGAAAATGTGACAGGTAGAGTAAACTGTGAGCAAACAATATCTCTGAATTGTACGTTATGTTTTGTTAGAAGTTTGTAGCTGGGTAGCAGGGAGAGAGGTTGCTGTTTTCCTTAACCTGGTTGCTACAAATGGATCCAATTTGGGTCACTGGGAGGAAGAGGAGAGGTTGAAGCTCTTCGGAAAATAACTGAGGGTGTGTGACGGAGAGAAGCTTCCACAGTATGGGGTGGCAGGGGCAGGTGGTGAAGAAGAGCATGGAGATGGCTGGCAGCAATAGGAAACCTTGCCTCCAGCAGGGGATAGACATAAACAGGAGGAAAAATACCCTCCAAACAGGAGGAAAAAAAAAAAAAGATTTTTTTTTTTTCTAGAGACTGAAGAAGTGGTTGCCACCCCCAAAAAAAGAAATACAGGAGGTTATTGACCAAAAGGCAGGAGCTGAGAAGGAACCTATTCTGCAAATGTGCACTGATCAGAGGAATAGTTGTGTTTGCAAGCGTTTTTTTAATCTGCGTTACTAGGCTGAACATTCTGTTAAAAAATTATCGTGTTCTAGTTTGATACATTTTATGTGTGTGAAACTGTTAGAAATCAGAAGTGCTCTCATCTCAAGAAAAAGAGGGCCAAGTCTATTTGTGCTAGAATCAAGATCCTATTTTGGAAAGTAAAATGGATTTAATGGATGTAAAGTAGGCAAGAAAAAATGAACATAAAAAACAGACATACTTCAGGATTTTTCTTTTTTTGCATTAGCTGACTCTTTTTGTCCTTTTTTATCTCCTGTGTGTCAGTTCTGCTAATCATTTATCAGGAGAGAGCAATTACTATCAGCAATATCAGAAGAGAGCAATCAGAAGAGATAAAATATAGTAAAGATAAAGGAGAGGATTGGGCTATAAATCTGAAGTTCAGGAGTTTTCCATAATGATGTTTTTGACTTGGCTTCAAGAATAAAGTCTTTGGTTTTATTTCTTTATTGTCAACTAATTGTTCATTGTTAGGAGCATTTGGTTTTGGAGCATACACCTTGAAATATTTTTGTAGTGATACTCAGAGTTTCAGTGCGATCATTTCTATATTTTTATATTAAGAATTTTAGTATGTCTGTCTCCCAGATTATTGTTGCTTTGTTCAACTTTCTTTCACAATTTCTTCAAAATGACTTGCTATCCCGTGACAAATGTAGGATAAACAAAGTCGTGGGACTGTCAACCACCATGAATTTCCATTGCCTTTAGACGTGGAATGTGTTGTGAAAAGTATTGGCTCTAGATCATAATTTCAGATAGGCACTTTAACCCAGATACAGTGAATGGTCTCAAGAATGCAGATTTTCTTTTCAGTTTTCTTGCTCTAGTACATAGATAATCCTCAAAGATGCTGTTTCTGTACTTACCCTTATATCCAATGTATTTGTTAAGTTTAAAGAGTTTAAACTCTCAAACTGAGTATTTTGGGCTGGATCCACAAGCTTTTGTTAGTATTGGTAGTAGTGTTTAAGCTACCCTGCCACTGTTGGATCTTTTAACTTGTAGTTAAATATCAAGGCTTCTCAGATAGTGCATAAAGGGCTTTAGGTAACTAAGAAAGTGATTCACAAAAGCCTATGCACTGTGGGAGAGTCTTGTTAGTAAACAGTGCTTTACAAAGACCCCATGCCACAGAGGGAAATATTCTCTGCTGCACATGTTATCACAGAGTGAGGCCTGTGAAAATATCTTTTTTTTTTTTTTTTTTTAGTTTTACTTTCATGGAAAGCTAGAGGAAAAAAGAAACCCGCCTCTAGATATTCACCTAGGATACAAAATCCATTTTTTTAAAAATCCCTCTTCTGCATGGGAAAATCAGTCTCCAGTGCCTAGTGTTAAGTATCCTAGTGCTAGAACTCCAGTGATATGGATTTCTTACTGTCTCCTGCCAAAGTTATATTATTTACTAAAACAAAATAGTCCTTGAACGTTGACTTTCCTGTATCAACAATGTTCAGTCTCTGCCTTTCCCTATTCCTTCTTTGGTTTAATTAAAACTTTATTTTTAATTCAATATGAAGCAGCTTCTGATTGGAAAGGGGGGGGGCGGGAATCACACCTTATATTCTGATTGTCCTGTTCCTGATGTTGCAGGTATGAAAGAGATCTGAGTTCTTGACTCTGTTTGAAAACGTGTTAGATGTTGCTGACACGTGGGCATGCCGTGTTCTCCGTAGAATTTAATTACATCTGTATTTATGAGAGCTGATCCTGTTAGAGTGTGAAGCAAGTGGATCCTCAGCTAATTTGGGATTCTTCCTGAAGCTTAGGTCTGCCATACAGTGTGGGAACTTGTTAGGTAGGCTTTGCTGTTGAACTGCAAAGCCCATCTCATTCGGCTGTTGTCTTTGCTGCATGCAGAATGCCCAGTTCATTGGGGATAGACAGCCCTGAAAATTTCACCTGGCTGTAAACTTCACTTATAAAATAGCATATAGGTACTTGTACAGTGAATCTAGCCATTATGGGTTGCATCTAAGCTAGCAAGGCCAAGAGTGCTTATTGGAAGCTGCAGTTCCCAGTCAGGATGGATGTGTAAGAGACTCATGTAAGGCTGAGGCTGAAGGAGGCATGAGTGTCTCCCTCCTTCTAGTTCCCATGGAAGGGAGAGCTGGGCAGGGGCCTGAGGTGGAAGCTGCAGCATCCTTTCATGGCTGCCCTGCTCCTTCTGGGAATTCAGGATGTGCCATGGTGTGTCCTAGCAGATAAGTCTAGATGTAGYCCTCTACTTGGGGTTTATTTTTCTGCAAGATGTTGTTATAAAAAGTTTCTCTTAGTAGTGTCATTCTGGAGAGATATACAGATCACAGTGACCTATCATCAGCCTGTTGATTAACATGGTTTTATGTTATAATAAGTTAATAATAAATATATTGATCTTATAAGATCCTGTAAGTAAGCTTTCATAGTAGAGCTCATTGAGCTCTTAACTCAAAGGTGAAGATCTAAGATCTGTTCTATGAGTAGCAATTTTCATTAATTTATAGATATGTCACACTTCACCTTTGGAGTCACCATTTTAATATGAATTGTGGATCTTAAACCAGACAAAGCAGTTTTACCATGTGTAGAATAATCTACTGTGTAAATGTAAGCTTGTTGTTCATGCTGCTACATGGTGCGTTGGTGTATTGTAACTGGGCAGATAGTTGCATGGCTTCCATGCCCGGATTAGCGATAAGGATTTGTCTTGATTTTTTTTACTTTCTTGGACTTCCTTCATGTAGGTCTTATAATTCCACTACCCATGGGCAGAATGAGAAAACTCTGTTTTGTCATAGATSAAAAGGAATTCTAAAGACCTTGTAGTGCTACTAAAAATCTTGGAAGAGACTTAATYTTTGTCTTTATAAGCTATAACCGCATAAAGAATTTTCATCAATCTGTAACCAGCCTTGGTTTGGGGAACTTTTGCTTTTGATATTTTAGGCTTTTGCCTTAGCTCTCCAGTAGAAGAGAATTGTGCTAGAGAAGGGCATCAGCCATGTGAGATGGAAGAAGAACCGTAGTAACCTCTTTGGCTTTTCTGGGGATATGGGATACAACCAAGCAAGTAACACTTACATGGCTGTGAGTGCTATGCCACCGATAAAAATAGGTCCACAGTCTGGTCTGTGGCATTTGAGGAATCATTGCTATCATCTGGATAGCACAGAAATTAAGGCTTGATTCTTTATTTGGATATGGGAGAAAGGAGATGTAGGGAATAAGCTGCAACTTGCTGTTTCTTAGCCGCTCAGCCTTCATTATAAGTTAATACTGTAAAAGATTTTCTTTTTTTTTTTCCTCCCCCCAAGTTACTGTAGACATGTAGGCCTTACTATAGTTGTTTCAGGTGAAATCCTCAACAGATCCTATCCAGGTGCTGTTGTTATAAATGCTATTTAAAAAAAAAAAAAAAAAAGGAAAAAGTGATTCTGTCTCTTGGTCTTCAAGTATAAAAATCCGAATGGAAAAATGGAATTAAAAGTTTTTTAGTGCATTAGTGAAATGATGTGATTTCATCTATTGTAGGCCGCTTTTACATCCCTTTTTACTTGTAGTTACACTTGTGTAAAATTACTGCCAAAGCGGCAATAGATAAAAATCTGTAGTTTTTAGTTTAATAATCTATGCTAATGATTTACAAATAGATTTTCATATGGAAGAGTGTGTAAGGTGAGCCTGATTGTGTGTGTGTACATCAAATAGAATATTGAAAGTGCTGCATTGTTACTATATAACGTTACTATGTCATTCGAATGAATGCATTTCACACCACATAAAACTCCCTGTTAAAACAAGAGGATTGAAAGATTTAATTTTGGTTTCTGAGATTTCAGCATAAGTATTCTAGCAGTTCTGCATCTGTTGTGGGGAAGCGGAATTTCCAGTAGCTGTTCTTAATGCATATGCTTCTTCTCATCTCGCTCCCTCAGGAAATTTCACACGCATATATATTTAGTGTTCATATGAAGGAAAGAAAGAATATAGCATCTTTGTGCCTTTGAAATAAATCTACTTACGAGTTACTTCAAATTGTATTTGTAGCATAAAGGATGTGGTATTGAGTGGAATTTGATGCATCTTGCAAAAAAATTGCCTCCACTCAATCCTTTCTTAAACACTTAACACGGGTTTCATTTACTGTGTTGCTAGAAAGCTGCTTTTTTTCTCTATTGTATAAATTCTTTTTTATTATTATTATTTTCAACCTACCCACTTGTGCTCTAGATCACACACCAAAGCATTTAATAAAACTTAGGAAATGTGWAGGATAATATGCTTTCTATATTACTGCAGAATAAATGACAAATTTAATGTACTTTCAGATTATAAATACAGCTATTTTAAAGGTCAATATTCAGTCTATATAGAATTGGAAATTATAAAATATGGATGATTTCCAGGTTAACACTAGGCCATTCATCCTTGCTTTTTTCACCGAACTGACACTTTGGAAAGCCCCTTGTCCTTTGCTCTTTAGTAACTTAAGACAATTTGGCAGTCTTTTTAGTCACCTCAGCTCAACATGGAKCTCTGTGCTTAATAAATAAATGTACCAAATGCTGCTTATTGTCTTCCTTTTAATAGTTTCAATAGGATTTAGAGGGCTCTTTGCAAAGCTGATTAAAGAGAAAGCTCTATTTCAGACTTGTGCACAAAAGAAACATTTTCCTCTAGATGCATTGTAAGAATGTTTTTTAATCTGTGTATATATGTGCATATATATTTATATATAAACAACTTTATAATAGCAGGATACTGCATATTAATAGTACATTAAAACTGTTAGAATTAACCTTTGAATTTACCATGTTGCAAGTATTAAAATATTCTGCTTGTTTACTTAAACATATTGATTCAAACTTAATACCCAGAAAAGCGGCTTACTTTTTAACAGCTTTTTCAAAACATAAATATTGCTGGCATTGCTTACATCATAGCATTCTTGCTAATCCATTTTGAAATTAGTGTTCCCCGAAGTAATAATAGATTATTACCATGGTAATCAAACTTTTTTTTTGCCTTTTCATTATAATATTTACTTACTGAGAGAGAAAAAAAATTTCTTGTACTTGATCTGCGGAGAAAAACTTACAAAAGATGTTTTTGCTTTATATGGAGCTTTGTAAAAAATAGGTATTTTTGCTTCTGATTATATCATTCGTGTGAGCTTTAATCATAAACAGTTGAATTATAATATGATAAAATGTTTGTTTATATCATAAATATTTGTTTATATTAAAATTATAAAGTTATAAAAATATAAAAATATATTCATGTATTATGAATATTAGTCTACTGTAGTGTGTGTATTGTATGCATATTAGAAGTGTTAAGGTGTGTGTTATATTACACATTTAATGAAAAATGTCATTGCTGTTATTTATTTTATGCAATTTGATTTTTTTTTTTTTTTTTTAATCCTAAGGATAGATAAAAAAACAAATTTCCTGTTAACTACAGTTTATTCTGTTTTAGGGCAGATATTACAACCACTGTCTGATTCTTTGTTATTTGATAAATAAGTTTGTTTAAGTATGTTTAAGGTACATGCTCATCTATTCTTTTGAAGGTGCAGCATGTCCTGTGCTAAGAACAGCTGTCCATCAGCTCAGAGAAGCCAGTCAAGAGGATCTTGGTGTTTCAGGTAAATTACTTCTGTTAATAGAAAGAGGAAAGTATCAAAATTAATCTGCCTGCAATGGATGTAATTGTAGTTCCACTGAGGCTGGCTGTAAAGCTGTAGAAGGATAAATCAACCTGCCACTCCCTTGCTGCAAAATTGTTTTAGTTTTAGAAAAGTGAAGGCTGATCAAAATCAGAACCTGTTCTTTCTGAAAGATACTGTTTTGCATTCTCTATGTGCCTTCATTTCCATTCTCTTCTCAAACGTGTTGCAGCTCTGAGCTACAGGCGCATTAGTTCAGGTGATAAAAAGAAATAATGGATGTATTTCTCAGAGATTGGGAAGTCAGCTACTGCTGGAATTCTGCCCTACAGTCTTCTTTATCGAGAAAAATGAATATTGGAGTATTTAGTATCCTAAAGTAGTGRATTTCAAAATAGCGTATCTTTCTGAATTCTAGAAAGTCACCAAACGTGCTAATAATCAATACCTCCTGTCAGTTTTGAAAATTGCATTAAATAAACTAAATCAGTCAATCATATCTTGCAGGGTTTGATCTAGCAGAAAGCTTTTCTTTGAGACAAACACCTTGCGGAGGGGAAAAAGTCTGTTTTAAGCTGGGAAGCGCACCTCTTGTCAGAGACACAAAGTAAGTAATTACTTAAAATCAGTGTCGTAAAGCTGCCATTTATAGATATTTTCATCTGTGATTTTTTTTTTTCCTCTTGTTTTGGGAGGAAGCTGTCTGATTCGTATGTTTCTTCTTCTGGAATCTAGAATTATCTAGGTAGAAAGTGAATTGCATGCGTCTTATTCTTGAAACACGATTCTGATTTTGGAAACTTTTATACAATTATAAAACAAAGAAATCCAATTATAAAACAAAGAAAAGAATCAACATTATGTTTTGTAATATAATACAAAGTATTTTCCTTGCTTTATTTTTTTTCCTTAATGAAATTGTTTACCCTGTCTCTCATTACTACTTGAAGGGATAATGACAGAAAAATGGTCACCGTTTCCTTAGAAAGCTACATTTTCATATAAATTTTTTTCAATGAGATTAACAAAATGTTGTAGTCTGTAGCGATCACAGGATGTGTATCCTGGTATAACACAGAATGAAAATAAAGGCAGACACCCCATGGAAGATTAAAAGGAAGGTGAAAGAGAGCAACATAAAATGAAATCGGGTGGATTTATATTTGCATTGGGGCAAGGAAATGGTGAAAAGCAGTTCAAGTTCCCCGCCCTTAGACAGTGGAGAGAGAGAAAATCCTCTCGGAGCTTCTTGGTTGTGGTGTGCTCAGTCATGGGATTGTGCTGTCTGTACAACGTGTTCCTGAGATGACGTGGGAAGCAACTGTGTTCACTATTCACATGTTTTCAGGTTGGGTGTTCTCCATTGCAAAGGTTCTGGCTCTGGGTTGTGCAGAAAGAAATACAGCCATGCCCTCCACATTCCCCTTTGCCTGGGGCTTTGGCAGGGCAAGGAGGAGTTGTGGGGCAACGTGAAACTAGGGACTGGTGGAGGAGGAGAAGTTTCACAGAAACCCAGATGTGAAGCAAAATGATCCCTGGGACTGAGGAATTGTCAAAATAAACAACCCTGGATAGATTGGCTATATTAATAGATAAGTTATAAATTATCATGAGTTATTAGAAATACTACATTAATATGGGTATGTAATTCATTAAAATTACACAAAATAATCTCTTTAAAAATTTGTTTTCGCTATTATGTGGAGAAATTAAGATTCTAGATAAAATCGATTGTCACTGAGAGCTCTGCTTTCAGTAAGATCTTCCCAGTATTACCAAGATTGATTTTGCAAGAGTAGCATGGGAAAGTAGGTACAACTCGCGCAGATGTTTACTAAAGTTGTTTTAAAAGTAACAAACTTCTATTTATTTATTATTCATTTTCATTATGTTTATATTGTCAATGTGAATATGAGGGGAATATGAGAATATAGGAGAGTAGAAAATCAAGGCAATAGCAGAAAAAGTGTGGCAATTTTCCTTTTTTTAGGAATAGGAGGTTGAGTAGAGTTTAGCTGTGTGCAGTCAGGAAGAGAAATGCGCGTATGCAAGATGATTAATTTCCTGAAATTGTTAGAAAATTGATGACCAAAAAAGGGAGTGAAGAGAGCTAAAAATTATAAGAAGAAACAAGGGGAAAATTCATGTTGTTAAGGCATTATTTCTGAGAGCATAATGGAGGGGTTAATTCATAATGGTGAGGTTGATAAATAGGGTTTTTTTCCTCCCCTTTTTTTCATTAGTTGAATTAGTAGAATATCAGAGTCTGTGCTTTACTGCTGTATTTTAAATGCATTTATTAACAAGGGATAACGTTAATTAATTACATCAACATTAATATTATGTACATTAAATAGTTCTTAGTGGAACTAGCCGCTAAGGCTGTTTTTTTTTGTTGTTTTTTAAACTGTTATCAAAGAGAAATGGAAGTCATAAGTGAAAACCGCGTTTTTAATTATTATTTAAAATGTTACATGTGTAATAGTTTTCTGTTATTGAAGTAAGACTTCAGACAAGATTTGATAATCTATGAGATGTTCTTCTGAACTTCTGAGCTGATTTTAAAAAAAGGGAAATTGGCAGTATGGAGCTATGCATTTGGTGTGACAGGTTCCCTGTGATGAGGAAATCAAACATCTAATGTCAAAGCTTTATAATATACCTTTTCACACTTGCTCATGTACCATGTAATACATTCCTTCTATTTAAAACTCCTTTTCCTACATTGTCAAACTGTGTAGTGGTAGACCCCGTGTGTTGCCAGATGCACGAAGGTTTTTAGGATCATCTTGCCTCAGAAAATATGTGAGTAGACGTGGTGTGCAGTAAGGAGCAGAAGAGAGTTTGTTATCCTTCCTGCAGGAAACTCGGAGTATCTGATTAAGCTGACTAGCAAGGATCGGGTAACTTGGCACGTCTCCTCTTACATTTCATTCATGCAGTTGCAGGGTGGGTAATCGAGAGCGATGCTGGGTCCTTTTTTTTTTTTTTCCTATGATACCATTTTGATTTTTTTCAATGAACCTGGAGTAGTGTTGCTCCTATTTATATATTGTAAATAATTTGCAATACACTGTTAGTGCAGGAAGTTGATTGTGGTGAATTTTAGTTTTATCTCTTGACTTTTTCTTGACCTCTTTTTTGAGAGTAACTTGTTAGGTATATTGCCTTGTGATAGGAGTTTTTTTTTTATGTCACATATTATCAATCTTAAGTTCTTTTTATTCTTTTACATCTTTAAGACCAGAGAAGGGCTTTGAAATCCAGGAGTTATGTATTGCCCTTTGTACTTGAATGCTTTTAGAAGTTGTTACTGAGTAACGTTGCATAACTGGGCCCTCGAATCAAAAAGAAAATCACATTAAAATAGGAATATGTAGACAATTAACTATGCAGTCATAATAACAGTCATGATATGTTTTCATTCTGTTTCCAAAAGCTGTTACGGTGGCAGGTTCTTAGTAGCTACAGTTTACTAAGCGTTGCCTGTGCAGTGGGTTGCAGTGATAGCAGAGACTTTGCAGGCGAAAGTAGCACAGAGCCCTGTGCCATCAGCAGCTGCAGGAGATCTGCCTGCACCTCTTGACGCTGTGGGACACGAGGCATTTTAGGCTGATCCTTGTTCTTTAGCTCCTTTAGAGTTTATGCTGGAATAGTTTTATTGTCTTTTTTCTAAARACGCATCCAATGTTGATTGCTCCTTTCCTGGACCTGACCCGTAGTCTCTGCAATGCATGTGCAGAGCAGTTGTGGGGCATGAGAAGTTGATTTTGASCAAATCTCAGAATGTTCTTGGCACTATCAGATCTTTACAGTATAGTCACTGCTTGCTCATTTTATAGTTKAGCTCAATAAATCATTTTAACTTACTGAAGAGTTTACGCTAGGCCAGCTCTTGATCTCAGAAGTACAACAGTGGGTTTATTCTCACAACCTTTAAATACTTTTTTCCACTTTTGGTTCAGAGGTACTGAAAAAGTCCAAATACAGCCTAAATCCTGCGCTCCATCAGCATCCCCTGCTCCCCAAAGAACAGTGGCTTGTTTCAGAGAGACCTTTACCACCAGTAACTGAATACCTAGCTTTGAGGGTTGCTTCTGTTGAGAAGAAAAATGGGTGATGAAAGAACTTTTCTGAGTTTATTATTTTGTCTATCAAAAAGCAGCCCAGGCTTCTGCTTTCTCCTTGGGACAGAGTCAGCATCAAGCAGAGGAGATTTTTGATTTCACCATTTGACCCTGCCTTCCAGCAAGCGCCCTTCTCCCCAAAGGCACCTCTAGGTGTCTTCATAGGCAGTTCCTTTGCTGAGATTTCTGTATTCAAGAAAATAAGACCTAGCTTCCTGCATCAAACACCTTTAAAATAAATCTGTAATTGAAAAAATAATGCATCTTATTCAAAACAACAGGCAAGCAGYCTCTCTGCTTGGTGACAATAGCTACGAATAATAAGCAGTTTTGGTCTGTGCCTCCATGTAGTCCTGTTAAGCTGTTGGTCTGCTTAAATATTAGGTAGTTACGTAAGAGACTCCCCGTCCCTTCCTATCACAGACTTTTTTTTTTTTTTTTTTGAGGTTATTTGAAATATTTGAGCCAACAATGCTGAGATTGAAATGTCTGGTATTTTGGTTGCAGGGTGTTTTCAAGAAAAAGGCCTTGTCTCTGGAATTTACTCCCCGAGTCTAGGAGCTTGAATTTAGTGCAAAACCTGGTGCTTTCCTCAGATCTTTTAAAGCACTGGATGAGAAGCTGCAGTGATAAAATTTCTTTCTTTTTTTTCTGCTCGTGGTTAAAGGTACTGCAATTGTGTCCTTTGTGGGTATTCTGAAAATGTACTGCATTTTACAAATTTAAAGAACTAAAATACAAGGATTACTATAAAAATAGCGATTTGTAACTCTAGCATATAATTACCAATTACTTCTTGTTATAAGCAAGAGGGCTGAGGCATCTTATTCTTTAAAAATGATACGAAAAASCTTCTTTTAAAGATTGGAAACGTGAATGCTTTTTTTTTTTCGTATTTGGATTATTTCTGTTTGTACCTGCGAAGTGCCAAGATCTTTTATAAGATCTAACAATTAATTGGGCATTAATTGCTATATTAGACTTTGTTTGCTAAACATGGAATTGATCATCTCATAATTCAACATGCAACTGACTTTGTAAAAAGAATTGGGAAAGCAAGAAACAGGTGTTGGAAGGGAGAGGAATAATCTATCTATTAAAATGTATAGCAGTATAGCAGACTGTGAGGCAACATGGAGAGAAAATTTACTGTCTATAAAGTGCCTTTACTATATGTTCATACAGTAGTTCTGTTATTTGCCTGCTGCCTGTCTTAATTTTCAACTCTTACCAATAAGGTGCATGAGGAATGGGGATCCATAGAAAAATCAGTGGTCTCCTGCACACTCCTTAGTATGGCCCAATGCCCTTASAGCACACATCTCACAGAAGACCCTTCCCTTTATTTGTCAGCACTTTATGGCAAGAAAAGTATTTTGGGGGAAAAACAGCGTCTGAGCAGTTCTGGTTTTGCCAGGTGCTGCCCTAGGGAATTTCTCACGTGTTTGTTTTGATCTGATGGTGATCATTAGTTGAAGAG